CCAACTACGGTACAGTTTCCTTTCTTCCCATTCAGACCTTTTATTCCTTCATAATTAGAGTAAAAAAATGTGATTGCGCAATTGCTTGCACGTAAGAACACTTTCCAATGTCAGCTGTTTAGGACAAGTACCCGCTCCGCCGCAGTACTACCCAGTTCCACAGCAGTAACGTATATTACGTTATCACCGGCGGATGACCATTTTGCCTCTCTAAGGTGATAGATGTGTTTGTAAATCCGCCTATGATGTGTGCAAATTTTAACTCTGTGATTGTGGTCATATTATAGGTAAGGAAAAAGGCCCCACAGTTTTTTGTTTGTTTAGAATATTTGCTGATGAGAAAATGTTTATAAAATGAACGATCCGTACTTGTTAAGCGCAGTCAGTTATTTATTATTTATTGGATTTTTGAAATTTTGGTGGGTGAATAAAGTTTTCAAGCAATGTGTCGAAATCCTTATTTCTTGTGTTCTGTGGCACATTTTATTTGTGCGGACTGAGTCGTAGTCAAGAGAATTATGTCTGCTATTTTCTTTGAGAGTATTTATAGTGGAACCGTCGTCATTCACGAAACATGACGTCGATTGAGATTGAAGCGGCTGAGTAAGTTCATTGGTCTTCTTCGAAAGTGTAGCGTTCGAATTGATCCCACGGTCCTTTCAGTTAATAGCTAGTCAAAACCCTCTCAACTTTATTGCGGCATAATCTTTGTAATACTTTTTTTGGGCAATTTTTGAGGAAACGTGTGACCTGGGATTGATTCACTGTTTCGTGTATTGGATTGATGCAGAATCATTGCTGTTTTCCCGCACTTTTCAACAGACAAGGCTCGTTGTCAGTTTTTCGAAAAAAATAGCTTAGCTCATTAAATGACATGAAAATGTAGGCCGTAAATTATATGTGCGTTTACCATTATAAACTTCGACACTTTGACTGGAAAGTCATAAAAACCTGCCACGGTCCCAGCGTGCTTTACCTAAGCAGTCATCACCAGTGGTTTCACGTAGTTATATCGGGAGAATCCGGCCAGGACGGCAACCCACGAAGACTTTGACCATAGCATCTGGTCCCCAGGGTTCTCTGGTAGTTGTGGAGGGAGGAAAAATAAATGAATACGAGCACAAATATGGTTTTAGTGTACATTTTTATAATTAAGGTGAGAAAATTGAGCTTATGGAGGGAGTACCATAGTGCCCTTCGTGAAGAAGAAAGCTGCATTAGACGTACTTAATTCAGAAATAAATGGTGGGGGGAGGGGTGTCGCGTTTTTGATACTCCCTCTATTATGTTTCAAGAGAGGAGTGGCATGAGTAGCATTAAAAGCCTTTGTGGGCATTTTTTGTGGATGTCTTGGAAGTGTTTTCAAATGAGTTGGCCATGTAGCACTAGGGACTTGAATATGCAGCACTTTACTGATATCCTACAAGAAGATATGACTGGAAATGACTCCATTCTAGCATCCACGTGGGATTGTGTCAAGTTCTCCAGGACAAGTAGTATTCAGTCTTCGATCGCAGCAACCTGCTTGTAGAGTCTATGTTTCATATCTTTGTCTTGAGTGCTGTTGTGAACTTATTTCTTGACCTAAATGAAAAAGTTCCGACTTTGATTAGATCGTAACCAATCGTTGGTGACCCGGAATTGCGTTGAATAGATCTATTTTAGCGTTGTTCGCCTTATCGAACAGTATGCTTGAAGGAAAACAACTCTGATGCGTATACACTCGTGTGTTGCAATATTCATGCTTATCCATTGCTGTTTCCTTGGAACCTTTACTATTTAATTGTTATTTTCATTCTAATATAACTGCTCCTAATGATACTTCCACCTACCTCTCCCGATAATTGCAGCTGTAAATGTCATCATGAAGAGCAGTGGATCAGTCGTTTTCATAACTTCAAAGGCTTCATGAGTTCATTTTCAGGAGGAGACAAACATCACATTAAACACGGTAGATAGCATAGATTCATTTTCACATGAAATCACTAATGGACATTGGGACACTGTTCTGAAATATCATTTCAACCTTTGAAACTTCCAGCAAAAAAGTTGATCGACCTATATGAGTTTGTAAAAAATAAATTCAATTTATATGATTTTTTTTTTTTTTATTTTAAAAAAAAAAAAAAAAAAAAAAAAAAAAAAAAAAAAAAAAAAAAAAAAAAAAAAAAAAAAAAAAAAAAAAAAAAAAAAAAAAAAAAAAAAAAAAAAAAAAAAAAAAAAAAAAAAAAAAAAAAAAAAAAAAAAAAAAAAAAAAAAAAAAAAAAAAAAAAAAAAAAAAATAATTTTTTATTTTACACAAACGCTGTAATCCTTTTTTCTTCATTCTTCTCTTTTCTATTATCGTTTCCCTTTTTTTGCAGATAAACCGTCGTATGTAAAGTGGCTCTGGGGCTCTGAATTAGTAGTAGGGCATCATGGAATACAGGAGCAGGGAAGTATCGTGAATATGGGGCATAAAATGTTCGCTTTTCTCTCCATCGACAGCTTGAGCTCTGCTATTCCATCCCTGTCTATGGTGCAGTGAAAGCTATTTAACTTATTAATGGCGGCCGCGTAATAACTTCGTATAGCATACATTATACGAAGTTATACGATTCAAAGGAAATATAGTTGCTTCTTGCTCATTGCGGTAGGCCCCTTCGAGTTCGTTGACAGTGTGGGAAGGACTCCTTCTGAAGACGATGAGGCGGATAAACATATTATTACTTTTCTCGTCGAGGAACATCTCAGAATCATTTTACCCGTGAAAATTAGCCCGCCCCATCTCTATTGAGAAACGTCTCCGCCTGATTTGCAAGGCAAAGTACTATTCGCCCATCTAGAAAAGGGTTTGGCAAGTGTTTTTTGTGACTGATTACGTTCATCCATCGCATAGTCTTGATAGTTCACACTAGTTGCTGGTCCTTGCGAATATAAGTGTATATTCCAGATGGTCATTGAGTTGGTTGAGCTTCGAGAGTTGGCAACTGCTCGTCTTATTGCTCGTCAAACAGATCCTATGCACTTGCTGAAGCAGATGGATCCTGAAAGGTGCCGTCTTTGGAGTTATCTTCTTGATTTTAGCAGTGCCTTACATTTAAAAATCTTCTCTCCAGGTATGCGAGATTGGACAATCTGATTAACCGTCCATACTTTGACCCGGGCGAGGTTTTCGGAGATGTCAGCAAGGAGAAACGGCGTCAGGCTATCGCCAATGTAAACGAATTTTCATGTTTTTTTTTATCATTTTGTCGATGCTGCAATTCTGCAATGGAGTCATGTAGTTCAACTAAGTTTTTAACATGGTCTGTGGATCGTGGACACCTGTTTACTTTTGATTTCTACCTAACAAGTCTTTTGCGGGGTCAAATGAGTATGAGAACTAGGCTATACGAATGAGCTCTTCTTTCTCTTGTGTCCAAAGCCCGGAGCAAATCACTTGGGCATAGCCAAAAAGAATCCATGAAAAATGTGTCACTTCCTGAGGTCGCTTTCGCGCTTATTGGGCCAAAATTATTGAATTTCTTCGTGTTAGTTTTCGCCTCCTTCCAAAATAGGGGACTTGTAGGGGATCACATTGGAATGTATGATCAGAAAAGGCGTTCATTTCAGTCTTTAGCCAGTGAAGTAAATGTGGTGCCACCATCTCGTTTGCTTGCTTTACTCCAGCAGTCACTGAAATGGCAGCTTCATCAAGGTCTTTTGCCACCAGGTACGACTTTTCTTTCACTTAGTTCTATTCTCTTTTTATGTATATGGTTTGTTGAGTACAAGGTGATCTTTCTAGGTACTCAAATTGATTTGTTCCGCGGTAAGGCTGCGATGAGGGAGCAGGAGGACGAACGGTATCCTACCCAGCTGGCCAGACATATCAAATTTGGAGCCAGTTAGTTTTGACCTATATCTTTTTTTCGTTTGAAATTTGATAATGGTTTGGTTGGGTTTTTCAAAGACTCATTTTTTTTCAGCAAGCTACCCGTTGTCAACGGTATTTTCGCCTGATGGACAGTTTCTGGTTTCTGGTTCTAAGGATGGTTTCATTGAAGTGTGGAACTTTATGAATGGAAAACTTCGTAAAGATCTGAAGTATCAGGTAAATTTATCGTAGATACATAATTTATTATAGTTTTGAAGCGAATTTCTTCAGGCCCAAGATAATCTTATGATGATGGATGACGGCGTTACTGCACTTTCATTTTCCCGCGATTCGGAAATGATTGTTTCTGGTAGTATGGATGGAAAAATTAAGGTTGCTTCAATGGACATGTATTTTTTTTCTGATTTGATTGTTCACACTCTGTTACGACCAATAAATAGCGTTGCCCCCCCGCCCCCCCCTTTCTTCAGGTGTGGCGAATACAAACGGGAGACTGTCTTCGACGTTTCGAAAAGGCTCATTCAGCAGCGATCAACGCTGTTAGATTCAGCAAGGATACCTCACACGTGTTGCAGTGCAGGCAATTGACCATATGGATAAGATAAGTTCCTTTGTTGATGCGAAGTTGTTCGAGTTATTTCAATGCAGAACCAGCCCGTTGTGTTGGTGATCGGATATTAAATGTTCGCTTATGTGGAGATGAAACTTTTTTTTCTAGAGTCCATGGTTTGAAGAGCGGGAAATGTCTCAAGGAGCTACGAGGGCACACGTCCTTTGTTACGGATGTACGATATCTTGAAGAAACAAATCAAGCGGGTATTGTGCTATGAATTGTCACCCAACAACTTAATTCTCTAGGTGGCTTCTTTTTTTCAAACTTAAAGAGTTCAATTCATTCATGAAATTCTCGTTTACAACTTAAGACACACACGTTAGGGTTCATCTAAAGGCTATTTCGGGTAGTCATATCACTACCACTCACTGTTTGCGACATCTTTCTGAGCTATTCGGTTTTCTTAGCTCATGATTACAGTGTTTTCTTGAAATACTCGGAGCTCAGGAATGAAATTTACATTTACTTTAGGTTTCATGTTCCGCTGATGGCACACTTCGAATATGGAACCTCAAAACGGCAGAATGTGCTACCACTTTCCGTATAGCTGGTGATATTGCTGTAAACTCTGTCACTCCGATACCAAAAACGGATCAAATCATAGTGTGCAATCGTTCTAATACGTTATATATTGTGAATCCGCAAGGACAGGTATGGAATAGCTTGTTAGCAGTGTGTCCCTGTGATTGACCAGCTGCTTGCAGGTTGTTAGATCGATGACATCCGGAAAACGTGGAGCGGAGGGTGAATTTATAGCATGCATTGTGTCTCCACGTGGCGAGTGGACGTATGCCGTGGCCGAAGACGGTGTTTTATATTGCTTCCCACTGCTTACTGGTGTTTTAGAAAACACTCTGCCGGTGAGCATCCGTTCTTTTTCATCGTATTCGCGTTGAGTTAGAAATAAGGCATGGATCTTACTTGATAAATGATTGACACTTTCTTCAGGTTAGTGAAAAGCAAGTACTAGGCCTTGCTCATCACCCGAATCAAAACTTGATAGCAACCATCGCAGAAGATGCGTTGCTGAAACTCTGGAAAGACTGATCTCCTGATTTTCTCTATCCTCTCAGCATGTTGGATCGAGTTTTTGTTGGAACTTTGTTGTAACGTATAACGTGCACCTTATTTATGTATTTTGATTGATTTTCACAGTTGTCTGTTGTGTCCATAAATATGTTCTCCTATCCGAGTCGTGGTTATTTTGTAAGAGTTTCGCTCCTCTAAATGTCATTCCTGATTTGCATTTGCTTTGCGAACCTTTGTTCGTTTGTGACTGTCATAGTTGTAGGTGTTGCTGAGCGTAGGTAGTGACTGTAGAGCTACAACTACTCGTCTTCTGCAGATACGAAGTGTAAATCGACAAGGTTGACGTGGAGGTTTTTTAAAGGTCAGTGAATAATTCGCTTCTTTTTACAAGCGCGCGCTTTGCTTTGACGGTTTTGATGTGCCATTCGTGTCTGAGCTTCGCTCGCTTGAGCCTCACCACATATTGAGTTGAACTAATAATGTAGGACAACAGTTTGCTTATTTTCTCTTTACGTCTCCCACGTAAGCATTTAGGTTTTTGCGTTCATGCTTCGCAAATCTTTCCTGCATTGGAAATTCCTATACAATTTGGCTTTTTTCCATACTTTATTTTTCTACTCTCTTCTTTTTATGATTTCGTATTTCTTTATTTTTTGGGAACACGCATTGTCGAATTATGTCTTTCTGACGTTTTTCTTCTCGGAATGTAATCAATTCCCTCTCTTCTGCTATTATCCCTTTCTTTGCTCATCTTGCTACAATTGATGGGCCCGCTTTGAATAGCCATCGATCGATTGACGATCCATTGCTTCCATGGAAGATCCATTGCTTCCAGTGGAAGAAGAGAATGCACTTCAATCCAAAAGTTATTCTTCTAGTTTTTTTCTTGCTCTGCAACCACTGTTTTTACATATTTTCGAATAATGAAATCTTTAGGACCATTCGAATTTGGTTGGTAACTTTTCTCCAGTTCAATTATATTGTAAAAAATGAGGTTTCAATGTGCATAACGTTAATACGAATTGCACAATGTTGGACTGAAATCACGCTTGTGTTTGGTTTGATTTTCTCTGAGGACACCTCACACTAAGCACTTTCTCGCAAGCGTGGACGTTGCCCGAAAACATGGGCGTTATTGCTGCGAAAGTGGGACAGGTCGCGCTTCTGTCGCTCAGTTGGCCTCGCGTTCAGCACCTTACACTCGCACAGTGGTGGTTCTGTATTGCGCATTTTCGTAATGTATTATTGGTAATAATCTAATTTCTCGTTGTTTAAAGCAACTTATTAGTTGTCATAGCTTATGACTTTGTAACCATTTGGCCGTAAGCGAAATGGCTCTGGATAATGGTTGATTAGAGAAACCTGTGTAAGGCTCAAGTGCACCGTATCCCCTATGCAAAAGCCATGTTACTGTTTCAGATCAGTTCTTTGGAGCAGTATTGAGAGTATTTCATTAACAAGCTCCTAAATTTATTCCAAAAATAGCATCAGAATTGCTCTTCGTTAATTGGTAGAGTTATTATTAGATTTTTTCTATTTTTTTTTAAATTTTTGCAGTGTTGTCATGGTTACCGTGTGAAAAACTGTGGAATCAAAATAATGAGCCTAGTTTTTCAGTTGTTTTTCCTAGAGCAGTTGTCGTTTTCTTAGCCTTTTGCTTCTGATTACGTTTCTGCAGCGCCTACCAGCTGTTTTTTCTACATGGTGTGCGAACTTTGTTTGACCTTGCGGCGTAAGAAACTTGCAGGGGGTGAAGAGTTCCGCTGATAGAAAACGTGGAGCGCGATCCCTCCATCCGACGAAGTGAGTCAGAAGTTGGTGTGTTAGACGTTGTGTCGAAGAAATATGCTGGTGTATTAATTAAATGGATCTTCCAAGGACATGAATTGCGATTGCATTGCGTTCTATTTGCCGAAACCGGTTTCTGAATAATAAATTGGAACGAAGCAACTTGCTGTTCTTCATTCCGTGGCTCTGTTGCTGATTTTCTGTGCAAAATATATTTGTGATTTGACAAAGAAATTTCGGGAAACGGACTGGAATGCTTGGTGGCTGGAAGGTGTGACACACAAAACCGTTTCAGCAGTACACATTTTTCAAACAAATTATTAATATCGTATAATATAAAGTCAGTATAAGAATTCACGAATTTTATAAGATATGTTTTGAGTATACGCACATTTGGCTTTGACATACACTCACATCACAACTCAAACGACCGCGCGGGATTGCGCAATAGCAGGAGAGTCAGGAGATTTTTCTTCAATAAAATCTGAGTGGATGGAGATTTCCTACCGCCCAGGGCTGGCGCAGATGAGTGAGGGTATGAAAATTCTTTAGGAGAGAAAACTTTCACAGTTCCATTTGAGGGGCGCACGGCGGCCCCCAGTTGGCTACCATGTCTTGAGGCGAGCCTCTTGTTGGCAGCCACCGGTGGCTGCCATTGTCACGAATGGGGTTCAAGTCCAGGATGAGGGAATGGACAGTGTTAGTACACCTCCGATCGTCCTAGGCTTTGATGAGCATATTTCGGAGAGTACACAGTGTGATTTTTCAGCTTAAACAGGTGAAAGAATGGGATTTGGGCGGTTCGGAGGTCATTCTTAGGAAAATAGCACTCCCACATACATTACTGTCCAACTTTGTGCCGTGTGCACCCTTCTCAAGAAGTTAACAAGTAGTTTTCTGCTTCGTCCACAGACTTAAAGAATGAGGGGGACACAACCTTCCTCGCAATGTTCATCTTGTTGAGTTGAAGCGACAAATTTTTTTTTTTTTTTTTTTTTCTTTTCCGAGTTTTCATTTAACAACATGCTCGAAAAATAGGTGTCCGGGGAAATTTCACTATGCGATCACTTCGAAGCAGCAGTTCGGTGATGAGTCTTCAGGTCGTCTCCAAAAGTAGGTGGGCTTTAGAAGCAGCTTTTATGAGGCAGTCCTTCAGGTGCTCTTGTCTGGACGTGTCAGCTATCGCCAGTTTTCGGTTGGACACCTTCAGTCGCTAAATTTCCTCATTCGACCACAGCCATGAAAATCTCTTCTCTCAGCCATGTGCGGCTGCACCTTTTCAAGATCTCAACATTTTTCTTTGTACCCTCCCAACCTTTCCTTCATGTAATCTTTGTTCGAACTTTGAACTTTGTGCAGACAAACTTATGAGGTTCGCGGAACCGGGAGCCTGTCGATCTTATGGGCTGTGTCGCTAGCGATTTCCAAACTTGTAGCGATGAAATTGAGGAGATACAGTCACTTCTAGCAATACTTTTTTATTAGCAGAACGAGTCTTCCTGGTGGTGGGCGATCAAGACAGCCAGATTTCTTTCTTGCTAAAATCCTGCCTTTGTTTTTCCAATAAGACGCCATCCCATGGACAGGTTGAAGCGGAGCCTTTGGCAGTGGCTGAATAGGCTGGCTTTTATTCTCATTCTGCAAATTCACGGATCAATGAACGATGGGTAAATTATCGTGTACTGATTAGAGAAAAAATGCAGTTTTTTATCATAGAGTGACGAATTAAGGATAAAGCATCTCATTATTTCACTTGTATGATTTATTCGTCGCTATCCATTTCTTTTTGAAATGCGCATTCTAATTACATTCAGAAACGTTGTGGCGTTTCGAGTGCGATTGGGCCCACACGATGACTTAAGGGGCCAGCCGATGTTTAACAACATGTCTTTGTTCTCCCAGACAAATCTGGTGGCAAATAGTCGATTTTCGGAAAGATGGAAGGTTGGGTTGCTGTGGATGATGTACGACGCAGGACTTGATCTTCGGACCATGTAGCGGAAGCGGACCGCTTCCGTTTTTCATCATCAAGTGCACATAAAAATACCCAAGTTTGACAGACCATCGAGTTGCTCACCCGACTGTAACGTAACGAAGGTGGCGCGGAAATGGGCGTCCGTTCTTTTCGGCGACCCTGTAGACTGTAAAGAACGGAAGTCTTTTAGCTTATTCTGAGAGAAGGGCAGTACCACCTGATAGTTTGACATCGGCGTCTTAAATTGTTATCATCATTGATGAACCCATTGGGGGCCACGCTGTCTTACGAACGAGGATCACTTTGCTTGATTCATACCACATGTTTCTTGTTTCGGAGATGTTTTTTATCTCTAGGGCTTTAAAAACGACTTATTGGCTTCTATTCAATGGATTATTGGTAGTAGCAGTTGGTGATTAGTAAGAAACCAAAAGATGGAGAGATACAGTAGCTGCAGCAGTCAGTGAATTAGAAGCAGTAGGTTATAGTTTTTGTGAAGCATGCACCCGAGTGTGCATGTATTGCGACTTCTGGAATATGATTATTAAGCTCATAAATTATTGAATGGAAAACCATGTAATTGTCATGTAATTTGCTGTCAGCTTATTCGGAGCGACATAATTCCGCTATTCGCTTTGAGGCTTATTTTCTAGCTGGACGTTAGTTAAAATGCGTTGCCATTAGGAATTATTCCGATGCTTTTCCATATTCAAGCAAACATAGAATTCGCTTTATATTTCAGCAACACTTAGTTGCACTGAAGAGTTTTTCTCTAAAAAATAGTCTATGCTTGAGTATATTGGTCTTTCCACTGACGGTTTATTCAACAGACGTGAGCTAACGAATTTTGTCATAAGAATAAAGCAGAGATATAATCTTGTTTTTGAGAAAATTAGAAAGCCTAACTCTTTTTTTGGTCAGTTTCTGTATGTTCTTCCTCTACTTTAGGGTTTCTTTTAGCTCGGCGTAGCTGGTTTTCTATGGTGGAATAACGGGAGTTTTTACCTTGCAACCTTAGAGCAGCACCCCCAGATGAAATTTGTGAGTCACAGCAGGCGATAATGGAGTTTGAGATGAGTTAAACTAAAAATGTAGAATAGCAAGCCGGCCTTAATCAAGTATGCCGCCTTGAAATGAGAAGGGGCGGGGCCGGACGATTTTACTGCATTTGCATCTATGGTCAATAACATGTGCCTTTTGCGCGCTGCACGATAATGGCGTTGTGTGTTATGGAAGTTTGCGGCGCAATAAATCG